CAGCAACTCACATTGTGTGCTCCATTTTCCGTTTTCCATTTAGCATCATTGATTGAAGGATCGTTTTCTTCCCGATCCTTTTTCATCGTTTTTGTTCTGTGTTTGTGGAGTATATTGCTTGATTTGTGTAGTCCGTTTCCGTCATTTGTTTATTTGATTGGCTGAGCTTTCTAGTGATGTGTGGTGTATTCTGAATTATTTCTGTGATGGTCTGGTTTATTGTTTATTGTTTTTTACGATTTCCGTTCCATTTGTTTACCAGCCGGTCTGCAGGATTTCCAAGGTGAATTCATCCGACGTTCACATGCTGAGCATGTGATCACTCCAATTGTCAATTTACAAACAAGTACGTAATGTCACTTCCTCTTAATATGAACTCTCAATTGGCCGGTGGTGCATTTTCCTCCGTGTTTGTGAATTTCTTTCTGGATTAAAGTAATTCTGTGGCTTCATCAGTGTTCCGTGAACTTTTTGAGGCTGATTATTTTCCTCAAATGATTACACCCCTGTCCCATTGATTGATTATTAATTTGTTTCCCATCGGTGATTGAGTTCTGCCGGAGGAATGATTTCTTTGAAAAGCTGATAAGTCATATTGTGACTCAAATTGTTATACATCTGAGGGAAAGCAGGCTGACCTATTTTCATTTTCTCCGTGAGGCTCATAGTGATCCTTTCAAACCCGAAAACAAAGGCACATTTCGAGGATTCTTGTGCTGATTGCTCACGTGCATCAGTTAAGCTGATACCACTTCACCTGCTGGCGGACTGGGCTAAACATCAATTCTGAACTTTCCCGTGGCTCTTTTGTTTACTGCCCATTCGGCTGAGGTAGAGAGAAAAATATAGTGTAGGTGGCAATATTAAGGGAAAGATAAAGCACTCAGGTAGATTAAGGATGCAAAATATGGGTAGTTGCATCAGTACCACTGCTCACGACATTCAACCATATCACTCATTGACTGTCACCACTAATGGTACTAACCCCGAGGTCCTCAACCAAGGAACCCAAATTAACTTATATGAGCAATAGTTTTCCCTCGTTCCGGGTATTGGTTTGACCACTCCTGACTTTCCGACGCACCAACTGTCTCAGCGAAAATCGCAAATAGGCGAAGCCTATCCTGGTGGTTTCGATCAAGTGGTAAAGGTCATCAAATTTTCACCTCGGAGGACATGTGATCGAATCTCACCAGCACCCTTCGGCTTCCCCCGTTCATTATGCGTCATATACCATGTTCCTCACGCGTCTGTGTCTAGACTGTGTGCAAACGAATCACAGTGTAATAGACTTTCTGAGAAGAAAACGTTTCATTATATGCCGTGGGTAGGTTACTGCCAGGTCACTAACCAAAGCAGGTTAATTTTGTTGCAGAATTTGCCACCAGAACCTCTGACTGACCCAAGCTTAATCTGCGAAGCAACGAATGCTTTGTGAAAACCACAATCCATTATGGGCGGGTGTCAAGTTCATCGGATCGTGCTCCCTTTGAACACCATCAACCGCTCAGTGCACCTCGATACCCAATGGAGCTGCTGACCATCGTCACAAACAGGAAGGTATGGGTGCGTGTGGTTCACAGGTCCCTTGGTTCGGAATCGGGGTTTTTAGTCGATTGCCTTTAGTGAACTGCCAGCGGTTCACCGACTCGGTTATAGACCCAGATATTGGCCTTTCATTCCCTCACCTTGGTGGGAGAACACCTCCGCTAGAGGAAGGCAGTGAATAGAGCTTCGTCTGTTGAGAGTTTGAGATGCTTGGTCGTATAGGAGCATTACATGAGGTACAAGAGAAGAACGACCAGCCTAAACCAGATTTACACGAACCATACTGAGGCTTTCGGAGGCAACCTGGGTTTTTCGTGCTTGCAGTTTGGTGAGAAAACAGCTCCTCCAAATAAAGACAGTGAGTAGGGCTTCTTCAATATACACATATGAGCGAATTATCGAGAATCAGATGGAAAAGAAAAAAACATTCTCGCGTGTGATGCTATTTTTAATTCGAATTTTCGCAAAAATTTAATTTATTGCCTTTTTCCTTCTCCTTCCAGCTGTGACCAATTTTGCTCCCAGCTCAGACAACGTCAATTTCTTGGATGATTTCAACAATTCACTTGTGCGTCTCACACAAGAACTACCATCGATTCGTACCGAACTCGTGGAAACGCTGGATCCTAATTGTCCGTTGGATAAGCACATCAAATGTGTGCAACTGATGCAGGAAGCACAAAAGAGCTTGCAAGTCCGTTACACATTGGATCAGGTAATAACCTCACTGACTGTCTGTGCATGTGTCTATTCGTGCATACCATGCAAGAATGGATGGTCTGGACAAAGGCTGAAAACAAATTCCTGTTCTGTCATGTATTAGGGATGAAAACTGCCTCTTACTCGTCCTCATTCATACTTCGGTTTTTGGGGATAGATCAACTTCACAGAGGAATCTTTGAAAAAACCTTGAAATGTGTTACAAATGTTGCTGACGTGTTCTTCACGCATGCATCTTTTAATCCTACCACCTCAATTTGGGTTTCGCCGCTCATTGTTCGCGATGGTCCGTCCGGTGATGTAACATCTATTCAAAGCTTGCCTGCTAACTCTGATCGATCCGCTACACTCTCTTTTCCACTCCATTTGGGAAAGACGTTTTTTTCCAAAACATTGGGCAGCTTCAATTTTAGTCCCGGTTCCAAAAAAAGGTGACCTATCTAGATGCGAAAATCGCACGGGTATTAACCTCATTGATATTGAGGCCAAAGTGTTTGCGGTGAAAATGCCTAATCGCTTCACAGTCGTCAGAAATACCCGCACTCATCCGAACCAAGGGGGTTTCGCCGTGGAAGAGGCTGTGTTAAACAAATCTTCAATTTCCGTAAGATTCTGAAACACCGTTACAGGTTCCAGCAGTCTATCACGGCATTTTTCATTCCCTTCCGCGTTGCATTCCATTCTGTCGATAGAATCCTTGTGGTGCGTATTACGGTCCGACGGGATGCCTTAGAAGTCCATCAGGCTCCTAAAATCCTACTACTCAGGAACCGAGGTACGCATCCGTACCTATGGAGAAGAATCAGCTCAGTTTACCCTAAGCTCTGGAGTCAGAACAGGTTGTCCCCTATCGCCGGTGTTATTCAATTACACCGTAGATTGGATAATGCGACAAGCACTTGTCGACTATCCCGGAGTGCAGCTTGGCCCAGGTACTCAGAATGCTGACCTCAATTTTGCGGATGCTGTTGTATTTGGATGCACCATGGACAACCTCTATCCTGTTGCCAGTCGTATAAATCAGTTTGCCCAGGCCATTGGGCTAGAGATCATTACGTCAAAAACGAAGATATTTTCGATCAAAACTTCTGCCATGACACAGTCCCTCTCGAATAACGGAGAACTTGTCGAATCAACCGAAGTTTTCGTGCATCTTAGCTCTACAAATAGATGAAACTGTCAGGCTTCGGATGAAATCCAACTCCGGGTAGACGGAGCTAGAAGAGCCTTCCTGCAACTCTTCAAACCGTTGTAGAATCGATACGAAATAAGCTTAAACATCAAAATCCGGGTTTATCTGGCTTCCATTCACCCCATCCTTACTTATGGTTGTGAAACCTGGCCGCTGAGAGTACAATATACCAGAAATCCCTAAGTATTTGATCATTAGGGCTTACGCCGTATCTTGAAGTTAAATTGGAGAGGTCGGATTTCCAGTGATGAGGTTTCGGTGGTGCTGTTTGATCATTGACAAGCTTTCAAAAATGCTACAACGCCGGCGCCTTCAGTGTTTTGGCCATATGCTCTGAAGGCCCGACGCTCAACTCTCACGAAAAGCTGTAGCCCTCGCACCGCGCCGTGTATAGTGTTCTCACTCAGTTGTCAACTGAAGACCGGGAGCAGTACTATCCAGGCGGATTTTGAATTACTGGGCCTCCAATCCGTATATGGTATTCGTAACTGTAATCAGAACTGGGTTTCACACTGCGTCAAACTTGCTTCCGGTCTTCATGCATGGACTGCCATCATTAGAGACATCCAAGAGGATGACTTATCGACCAGCCCGAGTTAGTCTATTAAAAGCCAAAGTTAATTAGTATCCATGCCTTT